GCCACTTGTCGTCTAGTTCTTTTCCTTCAGCTCTTCTTCGGTCGGTTCTTCTTGTTCGACCTCCTCCGGCTTTTCATTCTCTTCGGGAGAGCCTCGAGCTGGCTCTTTCTTCTCATCCGGCTCAAGTTCTCCTCCCGGATGAACTTCCATCCTTTCTTCCCGTGAGGGGCGGAAGTTGTCCTTGGTACAACTTCACTACAAAAGACAACTGCAGTTGTCTTTTGTAGTTTTCCCTGTGTGGGCCTGTTGGGTACATGATGAACTCCAGGTCCCTCCGCCTCAGACTGGGGAAGGTAGTCTTCCACGTCGGGATATTCATTTTGCCAAGGTTCCCTGGCTGAAGATCTCGTCTTTCTCCCACTCGTGTCCTTCGTAGACCGGCCACGTGTAGGACCCCACCAAGAGATACTTCTTCTCATCCCCATCGATGTCTTTTCCTTTGGCAAAGGGTCCAGACAAGTCCAATGCAAGAACGCATGGTTCAGGGATTCCTTGTGCTCGATGGGGCCTCTGACGAGCAGCTGCCCGTTGACATACTCCACAATCTCGTCGAAATGGAATGCGCCCTTGCGCCAGGTGTTCCCTCCACGACAGAACCTGCAACGTCACTCTCCTTATTTTCTGGATGTGCTTGACCACCTGAGTTGCCACTTCTCTCATCATTCCAGGAGCCCATCTAGCAAGGTCCTTGCTTGTCACTTCTGCTCGAGGCCTCAAGTCCACAGGCTCTTCCAGGCGTCGCTGAGGAGTCTGAAACGGAAAGTTGAGCGCCAATGAAGTAGACTTCGCAGCAAGGCCCCCAAAGTCTCCCTGGTTGAAAGTGAGCAAATCGAGTCCCAAGATCGTCTTCAATGCCTTCCACTCTCCAGTCCTCCAGAATGAAGCGCCGTGGGTTCTTGAGGAGGTTCGGCAGGTTGTTCCAAAAGAAAGCAAACTTTTGGATTCAGTCGTAACTTTGAATCCTGTCCCAGCCTCACATCCCTTCCCATTTGCGCCACCACCTGGAGAAGGATCATCCGGTAGAGAAGAACGTCATCAGTGTAACACTTGGCAGCTTCTGCTTCGCTATTTCGTGGAAGCCCCCATGGATATGTCGTTGTCCTTGATGGCCCAGGCATCCTCTCATGTGGCTGATGCCTCAACGTTGACCTTGTTCGGCAGTTGGGGCCTCCCAAGATTCCATCTACCCATCCATCCATACACATCCTCAGAAGGATCGCAAACATGCCATCATCGGCCATCATGTCGTGGGACTTGTCCCTGAGAATGTCCACCTCGAAGATGCGAGTAGGGTCCCCCCCCATCTCCTTCACTGCTCTTTGCAGGTAGTACCCATCTTTAGGCCCTGCGTAGAGATGTACAGTCACCCCTTCTCGCTCCCACCTCCGACGAATCCGTCGATTGACTTGCAGTCCACTCAGGTCCCTTGCCGGAGTGTCCACCAACTTGTCCCTAATCCTCTGCGGCATGTTCTGGAACACCGGAAAGTCTCGAACCACTTGATCGAGCCAGTTGGTGTGAATGCCTTCATCTGCAAAGACCTGACATCTCAATGCCATTTTTGAGTTGGACTCTTCGAGCTCCTGGATGAGTGCCAGTGCTTCTGCATAGGCTAGCCGCTATACCATGGGGCAACCCTCAACCAACTCCACGTCGATGAGGCCCCTCAGTGGGTGCAGCAGTCGGCAATGATCACCCTCCCATTCCAGGTTGCAGCCGAGGTCCTTGATCAATCGACCAACTGGAACTATAGGCTCAACTCCTTCATCCACATGGACCAACACCTGCCCTTCCGTCATTCGCAAGGTGAGTCGTCCTCCTGCGGCCAGCGACACTTGAACTTGCCTGTACCGCTCCAGGTTCTCTCCCGGTCGTCGAGGTCGTAATGCATGAGTTGCCCCTGTGTCCATTGAACTCTAGCAACCGACACGGCCTTCATCGTGGGGGTTGTAGGCCCTTCCTTGATCTTCCTCAAGGCTTCCACCAAGTCCGCCTCCTTGGATTTCTCTCCTTGAAGCGACATGCCCCTCAGCATTCTCTGCGCTTCATCCAACACTTGCTTCAAAGCGTCTTGATTGCCTCCCTCCATCAGATCCGACCCACATGTTGAAGGAGGTGATCCGGGGTTCGGGAACACCGAGGATGACGTTTCCGAAGGTGCTGACGAAGAAGCTCCTCCGACATCCTTCACCTTTTGAATCTTTCGCTCTGGATCGGGACGCTTTCCATCACCCTTGCCGCCATCTCCACCAGAAGCTCCAGCCTTTTTCGTCTCCTTTCGAGTGCAGTCCTTGGCATAATGATTGGTAGCCCCACAGACATAGCACCTCTTTTCTCCAGGCTCTGCTTGATGCTGCCATCGGCAAGCTGCTCCTCGTCGGCATCCTCCATCAGTTCGAAAGTATTTGCAGATGCCCGGACTCTTGCCATCTGGATTTCCTTCTCCTTTCTTTTCGTCGACAAAGGCCGCCTTGACCTCTGGACCTCCTCCCTGATTGCCAGCTCTCGGAGCTCCCGCAGTCTTCGGCCTGACTCGATGCATGAGTTGTTCAAGTTCAGCAAGTAAATGTTCAGCATACGTCTTGACCGTCTCCTCGGTCGGGATCGTGTCTAACTGCAACGTATTTCTCACCAGAGAACACCTGAACTGCAAATCAGGCTGCTGGGCCAGTACCTTCTGGCTCAACCTCATGATTCCCTTCATCAGGATCGTTGAGTCAGGAAGATTCAAGCCAATGTCCGAAGCGCGTCGAAGCCAGCGCATCCACTTCCGCAGCCCGGCGCATGCTTCAGCTGGTGAAGTTGCCTCCGACGGCTCCTCAAGTTGTCTCAGGATGATGGACCGCTCATGCGTCCCACCCGGTTGATACAAGACCATGAGCTTGCTGACCAGCCTCAATGGAGAAAGTGCCCTTGTAGCCACCAATTCCTCCTTCACGCTCGTCGGCACAGCTGCAAGCATCATACTGATGGCCCGTTTTTCCACCCGGACCCATTTGGGCTTCTGCAACTCCAAGGAGGGCTCGATGACGCAGGTCGCTCGTTGAAGTGGTCGAAGATGGATGTAGTGGCTATACCATTTTCGTGCCTCATCCACCACCAGCTCCCACCATTGCCCCGAGGAGTCACTCAAGTCTGTCATTGCTGGTTCTATCAGCGTGAGCCAGTCAGCCAAGTCGATCGGCGCCGAATCCGCCGGTTCAGGAAGCGTAGGAAGTGTCACTGTTCCAGGCTTCACGGATTCTGGGGCACCGTCTCGGCTCTCCTTTTCCACAAGGTGGTTGACCAGCTTGGCCATCGCCTCCATCATCTTCTCACCCTTGACCCCATCTTGACTTCCTGAGGCTTTGGGGCTGAGTGGGCTGGGTTGCCGTAGATCTCCTCCAAGATTGACCAACCCCTTTTCCACTGACCGCCTGTCGGAGCTCCTCTTCATCGGCCTTGGCTCTGGCTGTATCGACCCCTTAGTTTGCTCCTCAGTCGGTCCTGACGTTCTCGGCCCTTGCAACGACCTCGAACGCTCTCGTTGTCCACGTCCTCGACCTCCACGGTTGCCAGGGGCAGGAGTGCCCATGAGGGATTGAAGCTGCTCGAACTGCTGCATTGGCGTCAGCTCATAGAGGCGCTTCCTCTCCTTCTCAAGGTCAACCTCCTTCTCCTGCTCACCCACTGTCATCTCGAGGTGGCGCTTCACAGTGTCTCCACTCTCCGGTGTGCGAAACATCTGCTGCTCCAGCTCCTGTTGCAGGTCGTGCACCTTAGCTTCCAAGCTTGCTCGTTGGAACTTCATGGCATCCATCATCTCGGCCTGTTCCACCCGAAGCTGCTGGTTCTCTTGCCTAAGCATTGCAAGCATATTCATCATCTCTTGCGGGTTTGGTGGACCTGACCCATAGTGATGTCCATGCTGCCACCCACCAACCCCAAGCCCTTGACCTTGTAGATGCGGTCGTCCAGCAAGTCATACCCTGGAGGTCCGCCCTTTCCATATCCCTTGATGACATGACGTTCTTGGTATCCCGGGCCATGGCCTTGTGCTTGAACCGCAAGTTGCTCTTGCTCGGTCTTCATCGCTCTCTCTTCTGGCTCTTCCACTTCAGGGACTTGCTGATTCGGTGATCGGCCTCTTTGAGGTTCCCGAAGATCACATGTCCTGGGCCAGGAAGAGGAGATGGAGTTCCCGTAGTCGTGCTCTGTTGAGGTGGCTGTACCTGGTCTTGTACTTCACCACCTGGACGCCACACACTCTCGAGGCATCTTGGCATAGAGATGAGGTGCTTGACTCTGAACTTCACGAAGATCTCGAAGCTGCTCAGGCGAGAACAAAGGCGTAGTCGGTCCCAGACTCGTCGGCCTTCCCACAGGACCTTGGAACTCTCCTTGCTCCCCATCCTCCAGAGCCAGCTGCTGTTCTTCTTCTTCACCACGCCCTCCTTCAGCCGGCAGCCCGCCATCCGCCAGCAGCTCCGCACTCTCATCATCGCCAGGCAGCTGCTTTCGTCGGCGTCTCATGGCCATGGCTTCACCTTCGATGGGCTGCCCCACCTCGACCTGTGAGGACTTACGCCTGCGTTGGGCTCATAACCTGCTCGAACCCTCGGACTCTTTTTGTCCAAACTTGAAAAGGCTTCAGGTACACTTGTCGATTTGTGCGTGTCTTTCATGACCTGCAGTTTCAATCACTTGGACATGGCCTTCGTCGAGCCTGAGATGGTCAAACTGGCAATGCCAGCCAAAGGAAACTCAGGGGATTGCCACACATCGTGATGAGCGCAGTTCGGCATTTTGTGAAGGACACGTCAGAGTACGGGGGCAAAGTGCCCTTCTGCGCTCCACAGTGAAAAGCAATAGCAACGCGACCAAAACTAGGAAACTCTTTCCGGAGTGCCCACCTGAGGCAAAAAAGCAGTTTGCTTATTTGTAAAACATAGGACTTTGCACCAGTCAATCGATTGGAAGTGCGAGATTCAATTGCTTTGGGTTGCGTGTTCTCTGCGCAGGTTGATCCACCAGATTTCGAGAAGCCGCAGCAGGCACCTTTTTGCAGCTTCCGCACCGGCTCTGTGAGCGTCTCGAGTCGTATGTTTTTTCCAGAAGTTTTTGTTTGGTGAAGTTTTCTTTGTATAGATTGACATCCTTCTTCCCACGTGTTGGTCAGGTGAGGGATCCTGCCACAACCCTCCTCTCCTCTCCTCTCCTCTCCTCTCCTCAGCCATTCTGCGCGCGACCACAGACCGTATGGGAGATGGCTCGGTCAAGGACATTGTTCTGGCACATACCACATCTTGGCAGGCATCCTTCGGCGCATTACTTCTCGTCGCTGCATCGGATTCTGTACTTGAGTGGCCTTCGAAATAGTCGGTGTTGGTACAGAAGGTGTAGTTGGCGATACACAATGAGATTAAATGACTTGGAACGGGCATCAAACGAAAATTGACAACTGTTCCTACCGGCGGAAGTTCCGGAGCCGGCAATGGCGGCGGAGGAGGAGGCGGCAAGGCCACCACTCTTAGGAACAGGTCTTGTTATACCGGCCGTTTGGCTTGGACTTGGATTCAGCGTCGATGGATAGGCCTGTTCATCCGACGGTGGCGGTGGTTCATTCTTCGGCATAGGCAGCGTCTTTGGCCTTTTCAGTACTCTAGTACGAGTGCCTGATGTTGAACCTGACGGAAATTCCCTGGCAACTGCAGGCGGTTCTGTCACAGGAGACTTGGTCTTAGGAACTGGGACTTGACGTACTTCTTGCGTCACAGTTGGCGGTTGATAAGACGGATGACAAGGCAACGGCATTCTAGTCTTAGGTTCATTTGGAGGAGACGAAGGCTTGGCACCGGTTGAAGGTGCTGAAGGAGCTGAGGGTGCTCCTGGCGAATCTTCGTCCCAGACCCTGAGATCGATCTATTTTTTGGATCTTCTTTGAAACTTTTTGCTTAGTAACTGGGGTTCCAGTTTCTAACCAGTTTTTTGTAGGGGAACCAAGCAGCAGGACAACATGTACTGACAAAACTCTGCAACACCAACCCAACACTTCAGCGCACAGGTACAAGCTTTTTCCATCTCCATCGTATGTACATATTGTACTCTTCACCATCTTCACCTCCTTCTTCGTCATGTTCTGCTTCAGGTTCATGGTCCGCGTCACACTTCTTCTTGTTGTTGGCAGCCTCTTGCACCGCAGCATCAAGCAAAGCATCCTGCCACAACATGCCAACAACACCCAGCAACACACATAAGCGCATTACACATAAACACAGTAGAAGCTCATGTCGTGCACGCACAGTGAGTTATATCCCCCAACCCTCATGGCCAAAGCCGGGCCAGTGTCCCCATTGTGCTTCAAAAGCTCGAGGCGCGGCGCTTCCTGAGACATGTTCATGCGCAAAAATGACAGCAATATGTCCACGCACAGAAGCGACAGCAAACACAAAGTAAGTGATTGGTAAGTTTCAGAGTGTGAATGCTACTGGAAGTCTCAACAACCAAGATGCTGCGATCTCATGGAATTTCTCATCTGGGACTCCATCCCGAGGTTTCATCTTCCAGGGAAATTAACAGATTTAATCAACAACAACAACAACAACACACAGCAACAGTTCACAAAGGTATACAAATCAAGCATACCACCCCGACCCTCAAGACTTCCTTCTTCGGGTTTGAGAGCTTGAAGCCGTAGATTTGGTTGGACGGGTACTGGTACTTCCAGCAATGAAGCACGTCGCTGCTCGGACGCTTACATGAACCTGCTGCAGCTGGCTTCCTCAAGACTGGTTGCGGGTCTACCTGAGATTCCTGAGGCTTTGTTTCTTCTGGCTGACTCCTCTCATGCCTGGCTGATTTGTCCTTTCGTGGTTTCTGTGCACTCGCTTTTGCTTTGCCTTTTGCTTTGGCTTTCGGAGAAGCCTTGGCCTTTGGCGCCGCGCAGCCTCCTCATCAGAAAGGTCATTCACATCATGAACGCGAGGGGCGACTTGCCCCAACCACATCCAAGAAGGGCGAGTACTACACTACAGCTTCGCACGCGAGAGGGGCGCTGCAGGTCCAAGCAACTAATGTAGCAGTGCGTGAGCGAGTATGCGCTGTCGCTTGATTAAGCATGCTGGAATGGCAACGTGAGCCCACGAGTTATTGCGCAGTTGTTTCTTTTTCATTTTTCTCAAAGCGCCGACAGATCTAGATGCTACTTGACTACTTGGCCGGTAGTTTATCAAAACCTTATTCTGTGGACTTCCCGGTGTTACGCAATTGCTACCCCATTGGCCACTCCTCACTGCCTCAACAACAAGTGGAACCACCGTCATTGCATTTGTTGAAGCTGAATGTCATAGCTATGAAGACATGAGCCATAAAAGTCCTTTACAGCGGCTAATCCCTGATTGAAAAATTCAAGACAGCTTACATGCTGTCCGTGCGTTGAGTGACACACGCGCTGTCAGTGAAATCGTGGCCTTGACGCCCACAATGCAAGCCGGAGCAGAACTGTCCACCCGCGCCTGAGCAACGTTACCCCTTTGACCCGCAAAACAATAACCCGCAACAAACTGCATTTACAACTTGTGTGACACGCTTAGTGAGATTCATACAACATCTCCCACCGACTTAGGCACAGACATCCCAGGTCGCAGCACAGTGCTTGTTGGTCAGCAGCTTGGGCAACTGGCCGTCTTTGACGAACAGCTGTCCCATCTGAGAAGCACGAATATTCTGCAAGGCGACATCACCGGGCAAAGGCTTTTGTTCAACAGTGTGAACCCGTTGCTTTGGTTGAATCTTGTCATGGAAGTTCAGCAACTGCCCATTGTTCTGCCAGTCAGTGTTGCACGTTGGCCAAAACCGGAACTTGGAACTTAATAAAGTCAACAACCACAGAAAACACATGAAATGTTCCAACATTGTCGGGGTGCCAAACAGAGGTACTAACAGAGGTGAACAAAAAGGGTGTAGCAACTACGACAATAACATCACAACTTCGACGTGCAACTTGTCCCAACTTGTCCTGCGCCTGTTGCATGTCATGGTCTGCAATAAACACCAACTCCTTGCCATCCCTCCCCACCCAAGCCAACAAGCACGTATCCAAGAAAGGCAGGGAATCTGTAGGCGGTGCTGTTGCTATGCCTCAGCTCTTCGTGTGCGGGCGCCCAGATCACCGAAGTGTGTTGTGCGTTGGTTTGTTCGTGTTGATGTTCGCGGTTGTTGTGGTTGTTTAAGTACACTCTTGCTACTTCTACCCATGTTGCGGTTGTCACTTTGAGAACATGATGGTGGCACATTCATGGACTGTTCATGGAACACATTCTACTTGCGTTTGTTTGTATTGCGCAACAACTCAGCAACTTTGAAGCACACTGGTTGAAACCCAACCTGTACCTTCCACCAGTTGATTACTGTATGTTACTGTTGATGCGTGTTACTGACATGAACCGGCCGTGGCACCCAAGGCGATCTCCGATTGAAAGATCCAATGTTGAAGCCGATGAGTTCACCTGCCTGGATCTCAGCGTTCGTTTCACCCTCCTTCACCAACCACAAGTCATAGCTGTTTGCGAGGCAAATTTTGACTGCTGGCAAGCGGGGGTATACTGCCGTTGCCATGATCCTTGGTAGTAGTTTAAAGTAAAAATCGTTGCCAATCAGTAAGCAAGCACTGAAACTAAATTGCACGCAACCACTTAGCTGGCATGAACTTGAAACAATCAGCAAAGAAGTAAACACAGACCTCAGCCTCAGAATGAACACAGCCTTCAACACACAGACCAGTGGCGACAAACAAGCATAGAATGATATAGAGGTCAGGTACAGAATGAACACAACTCTAAACATGCTGAGCTTTACTGATGCGCATGAAAATCACTGACACAGTCGTCGTGCAGTTAGCACACTGGTGTGAGTTTTGGAAATCTTGCGCTGGCAAGCTCGCCAAGTCCACCTCACAGGTCACATCCAAAGGCTTGTCCTGGTCAGTGAGCTATGGCAGGCACGCTGTCCGGGCGAGAGTATTCGCAGGCGTGGGTGCAGGAACTGTCACGGTTCCAGAAGCCCGTGTTCAAGCTTGTGTTGAAGCTGGTGTTGAGTTTGCCAAAGCCCTTTTCACCTTACTTGTGTTGGCGTCGACAACTTGTTGTTCCAGCCACTTCAGGCAGCGTGGGGGGATTCTACATCGAAGCGATTCTTCAGGGCATCCGGGATCCTCACTTTGTGTAACAGCTCCCCTCAACCGAAATTAGTCAGTAGCGTGCGGACACATGAGCAACAACCGCATTGAACGATTAATTAGAGCCCTTAAGCTTGAGGAGGCCATCGACTGTGGTCAACGAAGCCAGACTGGGCTCACTCGCCGAGAACCCAGCGCTTGGCCGGGTTTTGGGACCGGCCTGTGGACAGGTGTCCCACCACTCCTGTACAAAATGCCCGATACAGTATGTCACTGTCAGCAATAAGTCAACGTATTACAAACAAGAACCCAGAACCAACACCAAAACATTCATGGAACAAGGTTCACCACAAGCATTCAAAACGCAACACAAAACCATCATAGAATCAAGTAGTCGTATATCAAAATACAACAACATGTTGCAAAGCCACGCTGTCCTCCATTGCTCGTCCCAACTTAAGTGTTTGATAGTGGGTACGGATCGAGTTGAGATCTTGGGCAACGGGATCGTTCGATCGCCTACGATGTAGTCTTATATTACACCGGGAGATCCTCCAAAACCACCGTAGCTGTACTCGTGTTTGCTCTCCCACATGTTGTTCAGCTCCTTGCAAGCATGCTGACAAAACGCTACTAGGGTCTCCTGGCATCGCTACTAGGAGGAAGGACGTTACTGGGGGCTCCTAGGAGCAAGTAGTTTTGAGTGACAAGAAGCCATTAGGAACATGCCCAAGTTTTCCCAGTTTGCTCCCCAACTTCAATCTTCCTATTGCCTTATTCCTACTTCGCCAATCCAATGCCCATACCAATGCCAGTACCGATTATCTTGACCACGCAGGCCATTCAACAGACCCAAGCAGTTCAGTGTTCGCCCCATTG